CTAGCCAGTGGCAGTCGCGGCCAGAAAGAGAGGGTCGTACTTGTATAAGTGAGCGGGCGACTTACTTTTGATTTTGTAGCTTTGCAATTGATGTTGTTTTTGTTTTTGCTGTTGTTGTTGTTGCAGTCAATTGAGTAATCTTTCAGTTGATTTGTTGTTGTTGCTGCTTGTTGTTGAAAGTGAATTTCGCGAATCGTAATTCGCAGTTTACAATAGAATATTACTTAATAGACAATCTAACAGGTCGCCTGTTGTTTTCCCTCCACAATCTATGAGTCATTGCCTTTGCTGCCGTTGCTGTTGCACTTTTTTCTGTTGCAATGCCAGTTGGCCTCATTATGCAATTACAACAAAAAACACAGACAGGAGCAACTACGTTTTTTTCTTATATTTATTTTTTTGCATACGAAATGGCTGGCAGGCAAGCGAGAGGGCGAATATCTCAATTAGGAATATGTCTTGGTTTTTTTTCTTGGAACTTGAGCTGATTGTTTGTATGTGAGCTGATTATTACATCATTTGGCTTGGCTCGGCAGAATTGGTGGGTGCCCGAAGGGGGACAGTCCTCCAGTGCCTGGTTTTTTATTTCACTCGAATATTAGTATTAGCTTGTAATGGTGTGGAATTATTATGAAACAATGAATAATTGATATTCAATGTTATTCAATGCGATTGCAGTGGGAATTATATAGAACTATATAGACAGTAAAGAGGATTCCCAATAATCTCTTATTGAAAATGAAATGTAACTCATTGGAAATGTTATAAAATGTAGTTATATTTTAATAAAATTCACTGTTTAGTTAGTTGATTCTTTAACTTTTGCCAACCACTCTACTACCAATACCCATTCCGCCTCCACCTTGAAAACTTGTTCCAAACCAAAGCCCCACAAGGCAAACACTTTAGATACTATATAGTATCCATACGTGTATGTATTGTACCACCCCCCTGATAAATGAACTGAATTCCAGAAGTAAATACCCAAAACTTGACTTCAAATGGAAAAAGTTTGCACTCCCCCAACCCCCAACCACCAACCCGAGGTACACTTTCTGGCCCAAAGCGAATGAATATTTGAGCCAGAAATACACAAACAATTCCTTTCGGGTTAGAATTCTCATTTGAAAGTCTTGTAAGTAAAATGCAGGCATTTCTTTCTTCGTTTAGCCAGCTAGTGAAATGTGCGATGGCATCTCAGAAATGTGCGCCCGACTCGCTTCTGTGGGGAGCATGCCAAAAAGTATCTATCAGATACGCAGATACATGAACACCGGGAATGCCGGCTATGCAACGCATGGCGTCTAAGAGGGCGGTGCCTAAAGGGGGCAGTGCGGGTGAAAGCAACGCACAAATAAATCAAATCGCAAATACAAAAACAAAAAAAAGAAGCCAAAAAATTAACACAATCTGTAGGTAGGTGTATCTGTATCTTTATCTGTATCAGTGCGCTTTTGACAGCCATTGGCAACTGACTTTCTCAAGGCCAGTGGAGGTCTGTGGTCGTTAAACTCTCACCACCCCCTCAGACCCACCTCGGTGGTTCTTTGTTCGCTTTTTTTCACGGAAAGAACCCAACGACCTCAAAGTGCGCAATAAATTTCTGCTGCCTGGCCTGCATTTTGCTCAAAAAATCAAAGCCAAGGAGCCGAGCCGGGGGAGCGGGACTTCCAGCTCTTGTTTGGCTAATTAAAAAATGTTAGCTGCCTGAAAAAAAAATCAAAGGAACGTTCAGAAATGGCCAGAAACAAATGCTAATGAGTGCAGTCACTCTGAAAGATTGTGGGCTTAGTTAGGTAGACCCGTTTAAAAATAGGGGAATGACGACAATGGAGGCAAACAGCCCGCCACAAGCCGACAAGATCAAGGCCCTCTTCAAACAGTAACCACAAATCGCAGATACTTGTATACTCTCGTGCCCTGTGTATTAATGGAACGGAAAACAATACGTATAGGCTGGCTTTATCAGGTGTATTGGGCGAGCATGCACCTCGCGATAAGCGTCACGTCTTAATCACATGAATGGATATATTATTCAGTACCGGGCGAGGCCCCAGACTTTCTGCCACACCCGGGCGCTACACTATCGCCATATCGTATCGGACATGTCCGGCGGTGTGTGACCTGTCTGGGATACAAGTACCACTGGGACTGCATTTCTTATCATTTCGGCAGTGAGTCAAGGGGAGTTGGGCAACTATTTCACATACTTTTTTGAATAAAAAGATAAAGAAGCACGTTCCAGTTATCAACTAGTTAAGCACATCAGTTTTGAACTATTTTAGATCTGAGAAACATAATACCTTAAGGCAGTTAAGCCAGTTACTCAGCATACTTTGCCAATCTTATCAATAAAAATACCAAAAAAGCCAATAAACCAAGCGCCACATCCCAATGAACTCCTAGGCCTGCCACCTCAGACTAATTACCAAGAAATTACAACTTAATTAAGCGCATAAATTGAAATAATTAAAGCACCAAAAAAAATAATTCGAAACGAAAAGGAAATCCAGCAAGCCATAAAAGTTAATGGAAAATAAGGCAGGAATATAAAAAGAAAGGAACAAACCGAAATTAATTGCATGCTTCGTGCTAAATTCTTTCAGAAAGGAACATTAAATGCAGTCGACTGGTCAGCCCGAAAACACGCTATATAATTATACGATCTCGTCCATATAAAGTATATATGTATATTATATACTTTTACCACGAATGTGTGTGGTGAGCCTTGCATGACATGGAGGCATTTCCAATGCAATATTTCTAATGAAAGCTCGTTTTTTAGACCTTTAACCAAATATGTATTCAGGCCATGTCCTTGCGGCTCATTTAACAACTCTTTCCACTCAACTGGATGGAGACCCTCCACAACTGGGTATTTTAATCATCTGCCTTGTGTTAATTATTTTCTGTGTACTTGGCAAAAAAAAAGAAGCTCGAAAGAGGGAATGGCTGATGAGGTCAACGACTACATTACCAGGCTCGGGCCATAAAAAGACATACGTACGGCGCACACATGGCGTATACGTATTCAAATTAAATTGTGCATGTCTGGCAGGACATAAAATCCAGGGACGGGGGGCCTGTTGAGTGTGTCGAGGATTAACAGGCAGTGCTGTCACTCTGCTCTGACATCTTCATTGTCAAGTGGGGCACTTGGCTCGGTCCCCACTGCGTATGCGTAATATTTGTAGTCGGGCTTGACTTCCCAGAATCCCAGGCTGAAATGTTTTATTTGTTCGCCTAATTGGTTCGGATTTGGCTCCGCAATTTGCATTAATATATACACTGCTTTTCGCAGTATTTCTTTATGGCCATGACGCGGCACTTTGTTTATCAAAAGTGTTTACTTAAAGTCTTCTTTTCATTTCGTTTCGATTCTTTTCTACTTTCTGCTTGTGGCCCCAAAAGCGTATTTTGATTTGGACTCTGCTGGCTTTTTTCACTCTATTTTTTATCAGCAAGAGTCAATAACTGATTGCGGCGAGAGAAGAGCCGAAAGCCAATGAAATAGAACAAATAAATTGCTTTCTTATAAATAGACCGACTAGAATTAATTCTTTCTGTTCGGTGGGACATTCGGCTTTGTTTACGTGTCCGCTGGAACGTCCCCCCAAGTTCTGTCCACTTTCCAAATTATTTCATTTTTTTTGGGTAAACAAAGTCGTACGATGGATGCGTCAGCACTCGAATCTGGTGGACTAATCACATAGTAGGATACAGATACAATGACACATGGAAGGCAAGACAAAGTGCGACCCGATAATGACAATTATGAAAGTAACACCGCGCTTGAGGTGGGCGGTCCTGCAGAGGTGGCACGTCCCACTCGCCACCGACACTTTGAGGTGAAAGTGTAGAAAAATCTTGATAAGTCCTGGGGTGTTTAAACAGAATATTATATTAGTGAGTAAATAAAAGAAATAATAGCCGAAAAATCACCACAAAAAGAGGCAAATATTTACAAGTAAACAGCTATTTTTCCAAACAATTAAATAAAAATGTTAAATAATAGTATTTCTATTCTTAAATTATTAATTGGCTTTCAAAAAACTCTTTCCGATCTGGCTAATTTTAGCTTCTGGCCTCCCAGTCCTCTGCCTTCCACCTAGTTCTGTCCATCATTGCCATTGTTTGGCTCAAATGGAGGCACTCCCCGCCAGCACCTGCTCCTCCTCGGCGAACAGCTCTCGGCGAGTCAAGTGTTTTCCGTCCGATGCCTTCTGGTTTTTGTTAGTTTTTCCCCCGACTGCCAGCCAGTGCCCCAAGTATTTTGTTTGATGGATTTCTAAGTGCGTAAATCGTTGTGATTATTTTTGATTTTTTTCGAGGAAAAAAAAACTATTTCTGAGAAGCCAAAAATTGTCTCTGGGAAGTGATTAATTGGCTACTTTTGGGGGGTATTTCTGTTTGAAATATTCTTTGTTTAGTGTTTAGTGTTTAGTGAGTTCTCCAAGTGAAAGGGAAAATCCTCTTGAGCTCAAGTGACTGACTCAGCGCCGCAATCATTCATCGGAATATATGGACTTTGCAGAGCATTTCCTTGGACACTCGGTGGCGAAAGAGCTGAGCAGACAGCGCGTGCCACTTCTCATGGATGCCACGACTGCTGGCTGGCAGCCTGTGTCAAGGTTTATTTACTTTATACTCGCTCTATAAATATTTGATAATTGGGTCCTTGGCCCAAGGTGCCAGTGCCAGTTGCTCACTCAATTAGAGTAACCAGTTGACATTCAGGGAACTAATGGCAGAAAGCAAAAAAAAATACGCATACGCCGCATGGGCCCGATGTGGGCGGGTCGCCAAGTAGAACTTGTTGCGCTGCCTTTCGAGGGTATCTTGGCCTTTGCCGTGCTCTGGCTGACGTCAGCAAACCGAGTCTATTGAGCCCTGCCACTTCCGCCCAGCCCTTTATTGATTTTTCAAACCCCCTTCTGCAGTAGCAGGACTGCTGCGACTACACTGTTCAAAATAGTTGGTAAGAGAGCTTAAGAACTCACCTTTCTCCAAGCTGGCGTTGCAGAACTTTAGGGCGTCGTCCAGCAGGTTGAGGTGCATGCAGCTGCTGGCCTTCTCGCAGATCTTCTTGGCCTGCAGGTCCGGACCCCACCACTTCTCCACCAGGCGGCGCACCAGCACATCCGGCATGAACTTCATGGCGGCGGCACCTCCGTTTCCGGACGGATAGCCGGCCAGACCCAGCGAAGCAGCCGCCGAGGTGGACGCCATGGTGGTGGTGGCTGTGGCCGTCGTGGAGGCCACCGTGGTGGTGGTCACTGTCATGGGTGGGGCGGCCAGGCGCTGGACACTGGACGCCAGGTGGACGCCGTAGGCCACCGGGAAGCTGATGAGGCTGAGGTTCGCGTTGTGGTTCGTGGGCGCGGCGAAAAAGCTGGAGCCCGCGCCACTGGCCGTGGTGGTGGTCAGGGCGCAGGGCGGCGTCAGGGCTCCTGGCGGCGACGAGGAGTCCTGCAGCCGGGGAAACCGCACCTGGCAGATGTTGCACTGGGTGATCGTTTCGCAGCACTGCCGGCAGAAGGTGTGGCCGCAGTTGGTGGTGACGGGACAGCGCAGGATGTCGCCGCACAGGGGACACAGGAGCGGGTCGTAGTCCTCCACCGAGGGACTGGGAACTCTTAGTTCTCGCGTGGGGGAGTGTAGGTCCAGCGGGACTTCCCCGCCGCCTCCCAGGCTCAGGGAGTCACCGGCCTGAGCCAGGAATTCAGTCTGATCTCCCAGATTCTTCTTCGCCTGGTAGTGGTACCTGGACCAGGGCTTCACGTCCATTCTCTCCGCCATCCGGGGGCTCTTTACCGTGGTCGTGGTGCCGGCCACTCCGCCCATCAGCCGTATGTGGGAGGTGAGGGCGCTGGCCAGCCTGCTGAGCTTGTCCAGCGGCACATAGCCGTCCAGCTGGCGACTGGCAATCAGCTCGTAGATGTCGAAGGCCTGCGCCAGGCTCCCGCTCTCGGCGAGCGACTCGCCCAGCAGGTAGGACAGGTGCAAGGGGTTGTTGCCGGGGAGGAGCAGCTGGGGATGGGGCTGCACCTGCTCCTGGTCGTGGTCGTGCAGGAGCTTGAGGGCGCGCTTCTTGGCGCCCAGCGCGGGCTTCACGCAATAGCCCTGCGACAGAGGCATCACTGTACCGATTCCGTTCGATGGGGGCTTTAGCTGCCAGCAGTCACGTATGCCCCAGCGCACGTGGATTACTGCAACAGTCTGCTAGGTGGCTGGGCCTGAGCGGTTCTTTTATATCTTTCTATCTTTGTATCTTTCGGGTTGCACACTTCACTTCACATCACTTTGGTGCCTTTGGCCACTGACAGTTTGGTTATTTGTTAATTTTTCATTCAGCTTCTGGGATTTTTGAATTATTCTCTGCTGGTTGTGGGGATCAGCAGTGCGCTGCTTCTGGCTGTTTTATTTGAACTGAAGAAGAAGTTTTGACAACAGCAGCGCCGAGGCATCTGAAAACAGAGAACAAAGAGAGGGTGAGTTTGATTCGCAGAGAATGGGCTGAGAACGGGCGAGAGAGCGCCAGATAGGGGAGATTGTGAAGTAAACGCAACAAGAAGAAGATAGGCCAGTCACTGGAATTTACGTAACGCTCCAAAAAAACAAAAAAAAACAAAGACAAAAAAATATAAAAAAAACCCACACAAACGTGAAACAGAACTCGACTAAAAAATCAGCCAAAGAAACAGAAATGAAATAAAATGACGGATTCTCAGAGGCAGCTTTTGATTCTGTTTTATAATTCACACAGATACACACACACAAACACCCATGCAGAGAGAGAGTGCCAGCCAGAGAACAAGAGAAGCCCCCACCAAGTTACTCTTCCGCTCTCTTCGATTTACTGCCAGCTGCTGAAGAAGAAGAACTGTATCTATTACTTAACCACTGGAGAATGTGGATATCTCGCAGCTTGCACTTCTCCAACTCCACACACCGCCCAGAAACGGAGGGGCCTGAGAAAAATTGAACTGTGATGACGTGACTTTTGTCGCCTTAGCACTAGCTAATTACTGTGAGGAGGGGGGACAGTTCTTATATAAGCCCCAGTTCATTGAACTTTGAAATCGGGCGGCTGTTCTGGAAGCCATAGAGTGCTAACCCCCAGGCCCCATTCAGCCTAATCAAAAATAATTAAAGGTGAGCGGGTCTCGGGATTGCAGTGACTCGCCGCCCCCCAGAATATTATCTTGGCCAGACTGCGGCGGCAGTCGCACATGCTATTACATAATATTATGAAAATTAACACTGAATCACATAGAGCGAACTGACGCGGACGCTGGCCCAAGTAACGAAATCAAAATCATCGACACACAGATACACCCATACAGAGGCAGGTCGAAAAATTGAAACAAAAACACTGCCGCTCTTTGGCTCTTTGAGCGGCTTTGGGTTCTCTTTCGCGGGCGCTCTCTTTGAGAACTCTTGCTCAATGTTTCTAGCTACTTTTGGATGGTATTTGTGAGATACAAATATACCTGTGTGTGTGTGTGTGGTTTTTGTTTTTGTGTTGTTTGGGTTGTTTAGGTCGTTTTTGTTTCGACGGTGCGCACGTTTTGCTTTTGACGTCGTTCGCCGCTCCTGTTGTTGTTGTATCTTTAAGATAAACAATGCCGGCACAACACACACACTCACGCACAGCCTTCGTATTCTGGTTTTGTTATGTAAACAATTTTTGGTTGTCGTCCGCCCGGCATCAAGATCTTTATAGTTTTTCTTTTCTTTTTTTTTTTTAATTTTTTTTCGGGCACCCCTATGCCATATAATTTGTTTACATTTGAAAAGGCAATCAAAGTGTGCCAGAATACAGCTACAACTGAAGGGAAAACTACGAAATTGCGTGCAAATGAAATTTTTAGCTACTCTGCCGCGTGGGATATAAAGTCTCATGAGATATATATACATATAATATCGTGGCAAAAATCAGGCGTGCAGACACATATTTATATCAGACCACTTTTTTTGGTTTTTTTGCATAAATCGGGTTGTTAAGTAATGCCGAAATCTCTTATAAGTTGGTAGTTAGCCAAGAAAATTAATTTATCAAGGGTGTGTTTATATATATGGAGGGGCCTCACTTAGCCGACACACGATCTACATTCAGAGATCATGATTTTTATATTCGGAATAGTGTTTCTCTAGCTTCTTACATAAGAAAAAGGTTATTTTGGGTTTCAGCTTTTAATTCTTATCAATTCTGCCTTTGTTTTGGTTAAAAAATGAGTTATTATTTTTAGGAGAGAACTTTGCCCTCTGCTCCCCCACGCTGCCAGCTTGTGTAGATAGCTAGGGGGGGTCGCGCTTCTATATCAGTTGGCATTGTGAAAATACTGTGGGGAAAAAGTTGGTAAACAAGCTGTTAAGCACTCGATTCTAATTGCTCCTGTTGCGCGCTGGCTGTTATGGTTGTGTGGGCTTTGCGTAAGTAAGAAATTATGTATACGCCCCATATAACTGCACGTGTACGTAGTATATCCCAACTGCAATATCCGTACGGGTGTTCCTGCCCATTGCATAATAATCCATCCGAAGCTGATAAAATGTTCCTGAATGAACTGCCGGCTATAGCACGTCCGCAGGGCATACTGGTATTATGCAATGCCAATCATATAGCCCGATCCAGAGACAATATGGCAGCAGTGACGAGGCGATAATGGGGGTAGGCACTTTTGATTTCCGATAATGATTCGATTATGATCCGATAAAGAACCCAGAACTGAGCCAGTTAGTTACATAACACATCTACGCAAGAAAGTAATTATGCTCTCAAGGCAATTATGAAATCACACAAAACACTTGTATGTATATTTTGTTATGAAATCACGTATACGTTTCATTGCCTCGCGATGTTGGCGTCTGTTGTGTGTTTTGATTTCTTCTTTGATATTTGTTTTATTGGTTACCCATTTGTTTTTGATTTTTTATTTCGCTTTATGACATTGTACGACAATGACGAAGACCACGGCGATAAACACTCGTAAAAATAGCCCATAACCAATACAAATCAGGCCCAAGAATTTATAAACTCAAGCCAATTAGCAACAAACTGTGTATGTAGTCTTGATTTCACTCTCGGATCTGATTATACAAGAACCCCCGGACTAACTCATCGCTGACTAATATTTTTTTTAGCTTACATAATGATTGTGTCTTGATTGGTTTGTTTATGTAATGGGACTCCCTTGGGTTTCGAAGCCTGGTTTCCCGCCTGACTCATGACGAACCTTTCCACACCATGACGTATGCAAATAGGCCTTTTTTCCCCATTTTCAAGTCAACTATTTTTCGTTTGGGGCCAAGTGGGCGAACTGGCTAACTGAATGGGCTTTCATGGCCCGTTCATTGGCAGCAGCGTCGCGTAATACCCGTACATTGCGTGTCGTAACGACAGACGTTGGCTCACTGGGGGGGGAAGAGAGAAAGAGTGAAGCCAAAGAGCAATAGCAAGAGAGGCTGACTAATAGAGATGCTGACCCCAAAAGTAATTAACTGTTTTCCAAGTTACTACAAGGATATTCAGACTTAAGAGCTCTCTTTTTAGCTTATTTATTTGGCCAATGGAAACTCCCCGTCAAGCCTTATCTAAACTAATTTATCATCAAATCGCTAATATATTTTTTCCCGGCAAGTTTTTATCATGGATTATATATAAATGATTATCAAGTGCAGGGCGAATTCAATTGGCCACACCAGCCCACCAGCCCACAGAACGTCAACAAACAGCGCAGAAAAAACCGCTTAGTAATGCCTTTAAAAATATGGCAACACGTAAGAGCCCACCCGGTCCCCCAGGCCTCCCCCTCTCACCAGCTGCACTTTTTGTTTTCACAATCGGGAGATGGCGAATGAAAAGCCCCAAGTTTTCCCCGAAGAGAGCGACCAAGAGAGCCAGCTACTCTGTTGTGCCAATCTTTGAAAATGCAACTTTGTTGAGCGTTCATTCACATTGGAAATACCCACCCACCCACACACACACGCAGATACACTCACGCGTACAGATGCCGTGGAAAAGCATGTGGCCTGATGTCGTAACAAGAGGCGCACAAGAGAGCCCCCGGAGAAATGAAGAGAGATGCGAATGCTCTTTCGCTTTACCTGTCGCTGGTGTGGACCGCGCCTCCTTGTTTTGCCCCAGAGGGTGGTGGGGATTGGCGGGCGGCCGTTCTGCTGTTGCTCGAGAATCACACTCACACACACTCCCAATAGCACTTCTCCCTCTGCTTCTTGCGATTTCTTGTATATTTTATTTTTTATTTATATTTTTTGTTTGCCAAAAAAATTTATTGCCACACGCGTGCGAAAAAACGAATTCGGGAATATAATATTTTCATGACCCGCTTGGACTTTTGTTGCTGGGCGTTGGGCGTGCGCGTAACTTTTCTCGTGTTATGTGTTGTACTTTGTTGTATTTTTTTGTTTTGTAAGAACTTGGAACGGCGCTTGTCCGTCGGCTTTACGTAACCCCGCCGCACACACGGGTTAACTTTTTTTTTTTATTTGTGGGGAGAGGTGTGCGGCACCTAATGGGTGATTTTCGGGAGGGGAAGGAGGCCTATTCCTGGGAATGTCCTCTTTTTATTTTTCGGGAATTTATTTATTATTATTTACACTGAAAACACCACGCACTGCACTGATCAAACGCCTTTGTTTTTTTTTTTGATTACGACAATAAAGCGTTTGTTTTGTAATACGCTTACGTTACGCGACGGAGAAAGAGAAAGAGTTAGAGACGGAGAAAGAGACAGCAGCAACGGCGACGGCGGCGACAACGTGTTCGAGCGGCTGGTGATGATGCGCTCCACTTTGTTGCTAATATTTATTTATTTTTTTTTCTATTTTTTTTTTCTGCCTTTGCGGTCTGACGGGGCCTGGTTCAATCGAGTCTCTGCTGTCGAAACTGAACTTGCCACGGCCGCTGTTGGACAGCGATTGAACGTTAAGCGAGTTGGATTTCGCGAGCGAGCCCCACTCAGAGTGGTTGCTCTTCGGCCCCAGCCAGAGAAAGCCGGAGCGTGTAGAAGAGAGTCCTCGGATATATTATGTCACACACGGACAAGCTCTCTTACGGCCATGTTGCGTCATCAATTGCTCACTCTTTGGCGGCTTTTCGGCGGGTCTCTCTTTTGAAAATTTTGCCGGCAAAACGTCAACTGTCAAAACAGGCGACGACGCCAACTAAAATGGGGTGGTGGGTGGTTGAGGTTGTGCCGTGGGGGGGTGGGGCCAGCCAAAAGGGAGAAGGGCGACAGGGGGGTGCTATTGCGGGTGCGGCTGTTAGTTTCGTAGTGGGCGTCATTTATCGTATGATGCGCATTTCCGGCGCCACTCAGAAGACAACAGACAGCACCAACAACTAAGCAACAAAATACAAAAAAACTAGAGACTGTTTTTTACAAAAATACAAAAATAGTTTAAAAGAATCTGTAAGAAAAATCCAAACAAAAATAATAAAAATACGTAAGCTCAAACATTAATATCAAAAGCTCTTAACTCCCCTCAAAAATTATAATAGTATAGGATAAAATATTATCTCTGTAAACATTTATACTCACCTACATATGCATAAACCCAAGTTTATGTTACGGAAGCTTCCCTGTAATCGACCATGTCTGCGTTTCATAAGTGTTGTTTGTCTCTTACACTTGGTTTTGTCATTTAACGCAAATTACGTATACGACGCGTTGACCTCATTTGGGCCGATCACCAAATGCAGTCGCCGACAAACTGGGCTTAAACAAATCTCTCTCATTCTCACTTTTCTCCCTCTCATTCGCCTTTTTCTCTTTTTGGATTCGCTTGGCTCGCATTTCAAGCTCAAGTTCAACGTTTTCCGTTGCCTGGTAGCTGCCATATTTTCAATTAACTACAAATACTAAATCACTTCATAAATATTTTCCTATTTTTGGCAAAAATACTATTAAAACAATTGCCAGAGATTAGCCGAGGCGTATACGTAATATGGGATACTATAAAATATCACGTATACGCACCAACAAGCTTTTGTTTATGTTTTGTGGGAAAAATTTTGGATATTTTAAAGCCGACTTCTCTATAATATGGAGTCTATATAATTATTTCTGTTTCACATAACTAATTCATCGTGCCTATACACAAAAATGGAAAAAAATCGAAAAATATTTTGTCTCAGGATTTTGACCACATTTTCAAGGGATCATGACGAAAAAAGGACAAAAAATCTAAAAAATATTTTGTCTCAGGATTTTGATGCAGAATGGTGGAGAATCGACGTAGAAATCGTTTAAGGTACTCCCCTTGAGAATCGGATGAGAATTGAGAAAGATATAGCCATCCCAGCCAAGATATAGCCATCCCAGAAGACCCTATAGGGGAAAACCCCATTTTCAAGGGATCCCATCACGAAAAATGGACAAAAAATCTAAAAAATATTTTGTCTCAGGATTTTGATGCAGAATGGTGGAGAATCGACGTAGAAATCGTTTAAGGTACTCCGCTTGACGATCGGATGAGAATTGGGAAAAATATAGCCATCCCAGAAGACCCTATAGGGGAAAACCCCATTTTCAAGGGATCCCATCACGAAAAATGGACAAAAAATTGAAAAAATATTTTGTCTCAGGATTTTGATGCAGAATGGTGGAGAATCGACGTAGAAATCGTTTAAGGTACTCCGCTTGACGATCGGATGAGAATTGGGAAAAATATAGCCATCCCAGTGGACCCTATAGGGGAAAACCCCATTTTCAAGGGATCCCATCACGAAAAATGGACAAAAAATTGAAAAAATATTTTGTCTCAGGATTTTGATGCAGAATGGTGGAGAATCGACGTAGAAATCGTTTAAGGTACTCCGCTTGAGAATCGGATGAGAATTGGGAAAGATATAGCCATCCCAGCCAAGATATAGCCATCCCAGTGGACCCTAAAGGGGAAAACCCCATTTTCAAGGGATCCCATCACGAAAAATGGACAAAAAATTGAAAAAATATTTTGTCTCAGGATTTTGATGCAGAATGGTGGAGAATCGACGTAGAAATCGTTTAAGGTACTCCGCTTGAGAATCGGATGAAAATTGAGAAAGATATAGCCATCCCAGTGGACCCTATAGGGAAAAACCCCATTTTCAAGGGATCCCATCACGAAAAATGGACAAAAAATCTAAAAAATATTTTGTCTCAGGATTTTGATGCAGAATGGTGGAGAATCGACGTAGAAATCGTTTAAGGTACTCCCCTTGAGAATCGGATGAAAATTGAGAAAGATATAGCCATCCCAGCCAAGATATAGCCATCCCAGAAGACCCTATAGGGGAAAACCCCATTTTCAAGGGATCCCATCACGAAAAATGGACAAAAAATTGAAAAAATATTTTGTCTCAGGATTTTGATGCAGAATGGTGGAGAATCGACGTAGAAATCGTTTAAGGTACTCCGCTTGACGATCGGATGAGAATTGGGAAAAATATAGCCATCCCAGTGGACCCAATAGGGGAAAACCCCATTTTCAAGGGATGGACAAAAACCCCATCACGAAAAATGGACAAAAAATCTAAAAAATATTTTGTTTCAGGATTTTGATGCAGAATGGTGGAGAATCGACGTAGAAATCGTTTAAGGTACTCCCCTTGAGAATCGGATGAGAATTGAGAAAAATATAGCCATCCCAGCCAAGATATAGCCATCCCAGTGGACCCTATAGGGGAAAACCCCATTTTCAAGGGATCCCATCACGAAAAATGGACAAAAAATCTAAAAAATATTTTGTCTCAGGATTTTGATGCAGAATGGTGGAGAATCGACGTAGAAATCGTTTAAGGTACTCCGCTTGACGATCGGATGAGAATTGGGAAAAATATAGCCATCCCAGTGGACCCTATAGGGGAAAACCCCATTTTCAAGGGATCCCATCACGAAAAATGGACAAAAAATCTAAAAAATATTTTGTTTCAGGATTTTGATGCAGAATGGTGGAGAATCGACGTAGAAATCGTTTAAGGTACTCCCCTTGAGAATCGGATGAGAATTGATAAAGATATAGCCATCCCAGCCAAGATATAGCCATCCCAGTGGACCCTATAGGGGAAAACCCCATTTTCAAGGGATCCCATCACGAAAAATGGACAAAAAATCTAAAAAATATTTTGTCTCAGGATTTTGATGCAGAATGGTGGAGAATCGACGTAGAAATCGTTTAAGGTACTCCGCTTGAGAATCGGATGAAAATTAAAAAAGAAATAGCCATCCCAGTGGACCCTAAAGGGGAAAACCCCATTTTCAAGGGATCCCATCACGAAAAATGGACAAAAAATTGAAAAAATATTTTGTCTCAGGATTTTGATGCAGAATGGTGGAGAATCGACGTAGAAATCGTTTAAGGTACTCCGCTTGAGAATCGGATGAAAATCGAGAAAGATATAGCCATCTTAGTGGACCCTATAGGGAAAAACCCCATTTTCAAGGGATCCCATCACGAAAAATGGACAAAAAATCTAAAAAATATTTTGTCTCAGGATTTTGATGCAGAATGGTGGAGAATCGACGTAGAAATCGTTTAAGGTACTCCGCTTGACGATCGGATGAGAATTGGGAAAAATGTAGCCATCCCAGTGGACCCTCTAGAGGAAAACCCCATTTTCAAGGGATACCGTGAATATATGTCTATCTTCGCGATCTTTGTTTCACAAATCTTTTCCTAACATTTGACGTAGGTATCACTGTTGTGTCACTTCAAAATTACGTATAAGACGCGTTGGCCTTATCTGGGGAGATCAACATATGCAGTTGCCAACCAACTTGGCTTAAACCCCGCTCTTTCTCTCTCTCTCTTTCGCCACACTCTTTCTCTTTCGATTTGCTTGGCTCGCATTTCAAGCTCAAGTTCAACGTTGTCCGTTGGCGGGTTGCCTGCATATTACCAGTTTCAAGCCGCTGTTGCCGCTTGCCATTAACATTTCGATTGCCCGCCCGTCGTTGTTAACGTTTTTTATTTTTTTTCCGTTTTATTTTTGCGCTTTCGTAAGTTTTTTGGGCAGTAGAAATATGCGAGGCGAGTGGGACCCGCGACTGTCTGGGCATTGCTCGCATTTGTTGCAACATTTCCCTATGGGGAAGTAATCGAAACGCTTCGCTTCGCCCCGGGTCTGGGTCTGGTTTAGATTGTTGGTTATGCAGCTCCCATCTCTCAATAGTAATCAACGGAAATTAGCTGCGAGTTTCATGTTTGAGGTGTTTATTTTGTAAGCAATATATGAGGAAATTAGTTTTAACGCTTTTTTGTTGGTTGGTTTGTTATGGTTTTTGTTTTTTTGCATAAGAAATATTTGTAGATAGTTGTCTTAGGTCTTGATGTTTGTTGAAGTTGGCAAGCAAATGACTGTTTTTTTTGGTTTATTAAATAAGTAATGAATGGAGACGGTAAAAGGTGAATGTCTTTTACGATAAGAAGGTTCGACTTTAATTTGAGTCTCAAAAAATGTAATGGGAAGAGGCAAAAATAACAAGACCTCATTTTAAAAACAGCTGAAAAATAATGTCAACAGCGGATATAAACACAACTCATAAAGCGATCGATTTTTTCCCACTTACCAATTATGCAATGATCGTGACTTGACCTCGAGTCCCTTCAAGAAATTGTATTCCAGTTGCATTCAAGGCCAGCCACTTTTTTTACCACAACCGTTCAGCCTAAAAGTAGGCAAGGAAATCAAAGAAAAAAAATCCCCTTTAAGTAAGCAATATCCTTCCAAAAATATAAAAGAAAACACCTTTTATTTTGCATTTATCGTTTCAAAATTTGTATCTAAACCTTTATTGTTTGTTCTTTTTGCAGTTTCTCATAAAACATATTACTCGCCGTCACTCTTCGAAGCAAGTTTCTCATCTAGATCTCACTTCGCATCGCTCGAAGTTCTTACAAATTAATCTTTTGTTTCGTTCTCGAATCAAAGCCCATAACGTAAACATAACTATACATATATTATCCTTTAACAAAATCTAGAAAAGAACTTAGTTTGAATGACCATCCTTGAACTTATACTTAATCGAGTTGAGAGTGTAAAACAATTAACAAATGAGTTCAGTTTATTTTCCTTTTCATAAATTAAAACTAATATCTGCAGCATCTCCAGCACTTGTGTTGAAATTTCTAAGTTTTCTCTTTAATTTTAATTTGGTTTTTGTATATATATCTAGGTACATGTTAGTGTCCTTGCTTAGGCTTTCATCTTGAAGTTTTAATTTAAATTTCCATTCGTATTTTTATTTTTTGTTTTGTGTTTTGCATGCTGCCAACAACAAATAGGCTGAGTTATTTTTGGATTTCTTATAGCATTGCTCGTATGCCGTAAGCTGATTTTGCTTTTCACTAAGTTTTTTGTTTATTTCCAAATGAGTTTTGCTTTCCTTTAGGCTTTACATTTTTTTAGCTTTGATCTAGTTTCCGTTTAAGCTTCAACTTAAGCTATTGCAGCTCTGTGTGGTTTATGCATTTTGTTTCAGCTTCCTGGCTTTCCGTATATAAAATTATTTGCATTTTGTTTCATTTTGCAAAATTCTCAAAATATAAGTAAAGGCTCTAAAACGCTTTTTAAGTTCTTTTTTTAGGGTTTTTGTTTTATTTAATTACTTTAGCTTGATTTCTTTTTTTGCAACAACTAACAATTTTTTGGATTTTTCGGTTTTTATTTTTACTACATTTAAATATTTTTATTTGTGGATTTTTTTCGGGGGATTTTTTATTGATTTAAAATTCAACAACATTTTTCGTCTTTAATAATATGTAAGAATATATTTTTATGTATATATATGTATATATAAGTTATGTATATGTGTATAATATTATGTATATAATTATATATAATAGCATTAATATGTTTCGCATTGCCATCGTTTCGCGCCGCCACATCCGTTTCGCTCGTTCGCTCTACTTTAACCCTTAATCACTAAAAACACTCAGCACTTGCCTTAACCCACTGTACTGCGACTCTACTGTACCTTACACGTTACGCCCTTAAGTTATCGCTTTGCTAATTCATTTTTTATCGGTTTTGTTTGTCTTTTTTTTGCTTTGCACTGCAACAATTTGTGTCTTTAGTTACTATGTTTAACCCTGCCTAACGATCGCCGATCCTGCCACTTCCGCTCGCTATTTAGTTGAGTGTACTAACTTATGTATACAACTAATACATATGTATAAGGTTTATATAAAAATCATCAACTACGAATTTATCTACAAAAGTTACTCATTTTTGTCGCATGCGTAATTCATTTAACTAATTCTCTTTGTATATAATATATATGTATATATTTTTACCGTTTAATGCTTATTGTGTATTAAACATAATTTCGTTAGCTTTCATTTTGTTTTTAATTTCTTGTTATGTTGACAAAAAATGTTTCTTACTTTTCAGTTTTATCGTCTTTTTTTGTTGCTACAAAGTCTACATTTTGTTACGGAACATTCTTATGCGAAAAACTAGATTTTAATTCTATCGAACCTAAAAAATGATCGGAAATAAAAAGAAACAACTACAACAAACTCGTTGCATAAAATATTTGTCTAATATCTGCAGGCCTTTGCTATTTTCCGTGTGGCTTGCTTTTGGCCTGGCGATTTCGCCGCCGGAAAGTAGGCTACAAAAGTTTGGATTCTCCCACTTCCGCTGATAACTTGTGTGGGTGTGTGTGTGAGTGTCTGTGTTACTGAATCTGTGTATTTTTTTGCCAAATAAACAAATATCAAGAAATATCTGCATTCGGTTTTGAACTTATTCTTTTTTATTCAACAATTTTCTACATAAACAAAAAATTGTCTACAAAAATTCAACTACAAACTACGGAAAACAATATGTATTAAAAATATACAAAACTACTCTTAACTAATTAGGGCTTTGTGTGTATGGGTGTGGGGGTGTCTGTCGGGAGGGGGAGGAGCCCAGGCCAAGTAAATAAGCAAAATATCGTTTTAATTTGTTTCACCTCTACGCGCAATTTACTCTTTGTTTGTCTTAGATATAAATATTTTTATATAAATATAACACTTTATTTTATTTCTGGTTTGTTGTACAAATATTTTTATAGCAATTGCTTGAATCTGCTTAGTTGTATAGTTAATGGGGTTTCAAGTCCGCTATTTGAGTTATCAATAAATCATTATCGTTATCGTATATACTTGTGTGTGAATTCGTTCAACAACCGAAGCTCAAAAATTCATATCATTTTGCAAAATGACACCCAACATTTTCCGTAGGTTTTCCTGGGTTACTTATTAGTGGGTTCCCTTTCATCATCAATATATATCTTTTGTTTTTGTGGTTGTTTTCTCTAGGTGGTCTCATAGCAGTGCAAAAGGCTTTTGGGATCGATTCGTTTGGGGTCTATATCTTGTTAGTCAAAACTAAATATTGGGGGGAGGGAGGGCATAAAAACTGAAGCTATCATTCAGGTGCAACCCGCATCCGTGGCTAAATATCTAGGTATATATTGCTATATAATGCTATATAATGTAAATTACTATATAATTTGTGTAGTTCTTGCATCTATCGTTAGGGTTAGTTTCGATTTCGGTTGCGGTTACGGTTACGGTTACGGCTTTAGGTTTTATTTCTTCAACTCTGTCTTGAGATCCTTGTTTGGTGTCTTAGATATTTACTAACAATGAGCTATATGTGGGGATTCGGGAAGCTATGGGGATGGGTCATAGAGATAGATAGATAGATAGATAGAAAGATGTAAGTAAAAGGAAAGAAAACAAAATGTAAACGAGGTTTCGATATTTAAAAGCAACGCTTAGATTTTATTATTACACACAAATTTATGTTGTTTGCTTTCTCATTTTTTGTTACTCATTCTCATTCGCCTCAATCATCAATCATCAATCTTTGCTTTGTGTTTCTGTTTTTGTTGGTTTTGCACATTTTTCCATAGAATAAATAAAACTTATTGAAATTTGTTAAGAAGAAGTGCTTAATGAACTTAATTAACTTTTCCATTTTTTAGTATTAGCTTCCATTCTCGTTTCTGAATATAAAATATAAATTTTGCTCTCGGTCTGTGATATTTTTTTTGCTTTTTCTCTTTCATATATTTTTTGTCTTAGTGTCTAGATAATTGTATGCAGGTAAGTGTAACTCAAATGTATAACAAATAATAATAATAATAATAATTATTAAACTTAACTAGTGCCAAATAGGTTTAAAAGTTTAAACTTTAAAGTAACATACTTATTTAATATTATGTAAAAACTTTTTATTTATCGTTTCTTTAAGATCTTGCAAATCACACCAAAAGAAATAGTTTTTTTCTCGTTATATAAAAATTAAACAAATAATATTTTTTACAAACTAAATAGGGGAAATTTTTAAGAAAAGTGGTGGTTGAGGGGGAGCAGCTGAAGGGGGGGTTAGTAATAGTAAGAAAAGGACCATCCTTTTCTGGCTTTCTTGCACTTGCTCGAACCATGACTGACTATGTCTGGGGTTAGTTCTGGGTCGGTTATTTTAGTATCAACAAATCAACAACGAAAACTATTTCACTTCTAGTTTAGCATTTATCTGTGTCTCTGTCTTGTCTGTCCGTCAGTTTCTCATAATTTTTTTTTAGGGTTTTCTGATATCTTTTTTTTTGTGTTTAGGTTTTTATAAAAATCATAGCTCACTTAAACTAACCAGCTGCCAAGTGCCCGGCAACTGAGGAGGGAAGTTCTTTGCTCATTTCTAAATGGTTTTCCTTAGCGTTTCTTTTTCATGTTTTTGTTGTTTTTTTTTTTGTGGGTTTTCATTTTGCAATTTTTTATACAAGATTTTTTTATGCTTTTTATTTTATATCTCCTCTCGAGTTAATTTGAAAAAAAGGCAACGAAATTATTTACAATATGAATTGGTTGTGTGTGTGTGGTTCCTTTCTCTAATCGCTAAAGCAAAACTTAACCGAAAACTAATTACAAAAAAATTAATAAATGTTAAAATAGTAGTAGTCGTAAGAAGTAAAAAGTAGTAGAAGTGTAAGAATAGGAAGAACTAAGGGCGAAAATGATGTAGAAAGTTGCAGGAGAAAGAGTGATCTGATCAGAAGAAAGACTGCGTAAAACTAGACTAAACAACTATCAAACAATTTAAAAGATAACAATTCTAGGCTTCGGGCTCTACAGGTGTTCGTGTGTTCTTTTCTTTGTTAGGATTCTCTGATTGCGCTCGGAAGAATGCTACGGTAAAGGCAAAAAGCTTCGGCTGCAGAGCTTCGGGGACTCTGCCAGTGAGACTTTCTTTTTTTTGGCTACTCTTTAAAAATGTTTCGTCTTCTTTTTTTTTAGTTTCCATGTTTTTTTCTTCCAGTGTTTTTAGTTATTTTACTTTTTTAGCATTAAATAAATATTTAACCGGAGCTCGACACCGCCTTCGGGGTGTCTGTGAGGGTGTGCGGGTGTGTGTTTGCTTACTATTATACTTTGCATATATATTCAGATAGTGTAGGTTTTCATGTCTGCATTACTAAACATTATTAGTAGTTTTAGCATAATTACGATTATTGTAATTTTATCAATAGTTATTATTATTTAATTGTTGTGGTGTCCTCAGGCCAAGTCACAAAATTGTATTTATCATTACACATCTTGGAATTTCGATAGACGTGCACGCAAGTCCATGTTCTCCTGTTTCAACTGCTCCACCTCCTGATGTAATGTTGCATTCTATATAGAGATATATTTTTAGAGATTTTTTCAAGGAATGGATGCCAATAGATTTACTTACTTCCTTCTCCAAATAGCGTGCCCGCATCGCAATCTGGTTCTCCTTCTGGCGCCGGGCATCGCGGGATCGCTTGGCGGCAATGTTGTTCTTCCGGCGGCGGGCCCAGTACTTGTCGTCCTTGAGCTCATCTGGAACAAATTGCTTGCGTGACTTTTTGATCATCGGCTGCGGCTTGAGCTCCTCGTCGGAGAAGGCTCGGGTCCGCGGATCAAAGTCACGGCCCGAGGAGGCGAACGAAAATGCTGGAATATCAAATACTAAATGTTAACAATGTTTCACAGACTGTTCGTGCTAAATTAAAATCATAATCAAAATCAACCTCGAAACGGCAAACTCAAAAGTACTCTAATATCAACTGAATCTCTTTTTTTTTTTTTTGTTTTAATTAATTAAAAAATTGAAAAATTTGCACAAATTGGAATGGGAATCATTGGTGGAAGGACAACCATTCATTGTCGTTGTCCTTCGATGTGTGTCTCAATTAACATTTAGCATTTGATAAGACATTTGTGGGCAACTTAAATTAATTTATACACATCAACTATAATTTAAGTTAGAGGCAATGTCCATTCCATTTGTGTTTTAAATATATTTTAAATTTACAAAGTCAAAGAGTGTATAATAAATCAATTTAGAAATGAAAAGCCAACGAATTATGTGGTTTCCGCAAGGAGTTCCAAAGGAATCACTGATTTCTCTAACGATTTTAATCGAACAACTATCCGTAGATCGATACTCACTTGACTCGGCCGGCGATGGAGGATTTAGCGTGTCCGGACTAATGCAGTCGGACGGCGAGGGCGACCGCTCCCGCTTTGTGGTTATGTGGCCCAGGCCGAGGGAGAGGCCCGCCGCATGTCCCAGGGAGTCGGACCGGTGACCCAGGCCGCCCGAGTGACCCAGGTGTGTGCCGGGGAGGCCATCAGGTATATTGTTTTCCGACAGGAACTCGTCTAGGTCGGCATACTGCAAACGATTGGAGAAATGAAACCAAAATGAGAAACAAGGACACAGATCAGGACACGGGGTTAGTCACACGATCTCTGAGCTCTGATGATGAGAAGACACTTCTCGCACTATATAAGCAACCGATAACACTCAAGTTAACTGTTTCCGTGTGTGTGTTTTGTCATGACTGTACTCGCGGAGAGTGTGTATGTGGTGTGTGGTGTGTATTGTGTTTAATTTTGAGCTTGTGTGTGAAATTTTGACCGTTGGACATTGTTTATAAGGACGCAGCCACTACGCAGCGATGATAGAAATGATACTAACTTGTGTTACCTTGAGGTCGGCGTCGTAGGGCAGGGTCTTGTCCCACAGGTTGGGGCCCAGGAACGCCGTTTGCGCCTCGACATTCCAGATGTCGCCCTCCTCCTTGTACTTGTCATCTGGGCAGATGATTTCTTTGCTATTCGATGTGGATTTGCCTGGAAATGGACGGAAAAGGACGGAGAAATGCAATTCAATTAGTCACAATGGTCATTAACTGATTAGATTTGGGTCTATATAAATACTGAGGGCCCGATAAGATGGCCGAGACATTGCTGTTTGCTTTAAAAACTGGGTCAAGTACTCTCTACATTTCTCTATTATATAAACCGTAATAATTCTACTGGCTTTGCCTGGGAACTTCGCACCTTTACATGGCTCTGCCAGGTAAAAACTATTTCCGCAAAATTTCCGCCAAGCAGCTTTTTGGCCACAAAACGGGTTATAGCCAAACAAAAAGATACAAAAAAAGAAAAAAAAGAAAGAAACCAACAAACAAACAAATCACACACACAAAGCAAACAACGGCTAGAGGAAGCAGCGGACAGACAGCACACGAAAAGCGAAAGTGAAATTTTTACTGCAGCTTTCAAACTGATTTTTATCGCTTCCAGCAAAAAGAGCAACATTAAAAAAAAAGCAACACAGGCAACAGAAACAACAAGACAACCAAAATCACTCAAAAAGCTTTTAGCCCTAATGTAAGCTCTGCCGCGGCGCAGCAGCTGCTCTGCCGGCAATTGAGCCCGGCTTAGACGCTGCGCAGACGCAGCTGAGCATGATCTTTCGCTGCTTTCGTCGGCTCTGGCTCGGTCTCCTCGCTTCTTTGCTTTGATTTCTTCCACCAAAAACGAGTTTTCTGGCCACAGACAGTAACAGAAACCAGTTGCCGTCTTTGGTTTCTTCGGCTCGCAATAGTTTCCGCTTTCTTATTCACTCTCACTTTCATTTGCGAATGTTTTTTTTTTCTTTTCGCTTTTTTTTACAGTTGTTGCTACTGCCGCTTTTTGCATTACCGACTATTGCGAAATTTTATGCCATTTTGCGGCCTGGCTCTTTCTTCCTCCGGCCCGTCCGACCGACCGACACCAAACACATTTCTGGTCTGTGTGCAATGAAGTAATATCTTTTCATTTCGATGTGCTCACCAGGCCGCAAGTGAAATGCTCAAGTATCCATTTCTCCATCACAGTGTGAGTGTGAAGTAATATCTGCAGTTTGCTGGCGAAAATTGGGACTTGCAGATCTGCAACGGCATGCGGCATACGGGGCGTATGAGTAACGCGTGAACTTTTCCGTTCGGCGTTGGCTTTTGAATTTTTAACAAGACACTTGTTGGGTTGGAAGATTTATGCCAGCTTGGTAGTAGCGGTAAGCAGGCTTAGTACTAAATACCTGTTTAAGGTTTTTCCTAAAAGCGAGAAACTTTTGGAGCTTTCCTCTCAAAAAACTAGAAATCATGCAATAAATGTAAAAACATCTTAAAACAATAAAAAATATAACAAAAATTAACTAAAACAAAAACCAAATTACCGTTTGCTTTGCAAATGAAACCCAAAAATGGAGATTTCCTGCCTGGAAAACAGAAGAAACGAAAAAGAGAGATAGTAGAAAAGAAATACAATATTGATTCTTCCAAGAAACAAAAGAAAACATAAAAGAACAGGGCACAAACAAACATGACAAGAAACAAAAGTATGGGTTAAAAAATGAGGATCAGACACAGGGCCCTTCAAGGATGCAAATGAGTTACTTTTACTTTTATTTTATTGTCTTCGATCTGGGATCTGAATTTATTTCGTTTCGTCGCTTCACTTTCACTGTCATCATCGACATTGTTGATTTGTGTCTCGAGCAGCAGGAATCTGGTCGCAGGTTTTATTTTTAGAAGCCGACTCCAAAAACAGGAATTCAACTTAATCTTCTTCTGCCTTAGTTTCGATTTCAGTTTCAGTTTCTCTTGCCATTTTAAGTAGGTCAAGCAATTTTTTTTCTGTGTCATCTTTGGGGAGCCCTCGCACCTTTTTCGGTTTTTCGTTTTTATTTTTTTACCTTTTCTGGTTTCTGGTTGGGGGCATTTTTATCTTTTTCCCCCGTCGTTTTCTTTGTTCAGCCAACGAAATTTCTCATTTTTGGTAATTAAAATAATTTGCATAATTTTCGTGCGTTTTTGGTCTGTATTTCACTTTCATTAGAAAGAGATAGGAGGCATCAGCCAAAGACAGAGATAGAGCTAGAGAGAGTTCTCTGTCTTCGGGCCTACGACAACAAATTTATTGTTTCTCAGGTGAAAAGCTCTCGATTTTTTTTGGTCATAGTTTTTTTTTAATAGACCTGATAATAATATTATGCTTATTATTTTTTTTTTGTCAATTTTTGGCTTTGTGGTCTTTGTTGTGTTAATGGTCGGCCACAATTTTTAGTGGACCATGGTCTGTAGGTTTTTCAGAAATATGTATATAGTTTTTTTTTTTTTTTTGGGAATTAAACTTTCACTTTTTGCTTTTGTTTTGTAGTTTTTTTTAGGAGGTTTTTAGTATGAAATAGCTTAATATTTTGGTTGCTAGCGGTTTTAGTTTTTAGTGACAGTGATTTTGATGGATTGCGGTCGAGGAAGTCGGAAATGAGCTTTTCAGGAATTTTCAATTTTCCCAGATACTTCCCAAAAATCAATAATTGCCATAATTGAACTTGTATCTATATTGTTTATCACACATTGATTGATAAACCAATTAAGTTTCTTGATTTCATGCCACATCCGTCTCAGCTTCCAAAATGAAAGTGAGAGTGCTTGCAGCAGCCAGAAAACGAGTCTCGAGCTCCCAAAAAACTATCCCCAAATAATCAGTCCACTAACTGAAACCAGTTTCAGACAAAAAACACGCAAATCTCCCAGAATGAACGAGAGACGCTCTACGATTGACGACATTGAAGAATATTTATGAAAATTAATTCCACGCGAAAGTTTTTTGTGTGTGGGACCAGATCTAACACTCGAAATTATCATAACAATAATAATAAAATTGATAATAAAATCAATGAAGTGCAGGGATTTGCTATGCGAATAATGTATATATTTAAATTTTATAAAAAAAAAGAGCAATAAAAAATAAAGTAGAAAATAATGTTGTGGCGAAATTATGCAACTTTTTGCATTTGAGCCCACGAAAGACAAGTACAACAAAAAGAGCTTTGATTGCGCGCTGTCCGCCCCTTTCACCTGTCTTTCTCTTCCTCGCTCTCCCTCTTTCACCCGACCGACCAGGTAATTCTCTGCGCATGCGTCGCTGCCGGCGTCGATGGCGCAACTGTGACGGGTTTTTTGTTGTTTCTGCCGCTGCCTCTGCCGCTGCGCTTGAGTGCTTCGTTGTATTACATCGTTGTATGAACGCTATGTACATCGCACTCTTCTTTTTATGGTTTGTTGCCATTGCTTGTTGTTGTTTTTGTGTTGTTGTTGGTGAAGTGCAGAAAGTGTAACACTTTCGATTGTTGCGCTGTCTCTGCTTGGTTTTGTTGTTTTTTCTGTTTTTTCTCTGTGGCTTGGTGTGCATTGAATTCATTCCGTATTTGCGCTCATTTGCATTTTTTTTGTAAACTTTTTTTTATAGTTTTTAACTATTTTTAGTTTTTGTTTGTCTGTGTTTGTTTTATTTTTTCTATTTACTCTTTTTTTTGTGTGTGGAATTAATTATGTGTGGGAAAATGTAGTGTACATTTGATTTCCGGGTTGTTAGCATGAAAGGTTTTGGACTAGTACTTTTTTTTTTGGGCTGAGATTTTAAGAAAAGTTTATTTTCTCTAAACTTTTGCTTTAAATCTTCTTAGATTTTTCTAGAAAATATTAATCTAGTTGAAAGTAAAGTAGAGAAAAATATCTCGAATTCTGTACAGTTTCAATATTTTTTAGAGAACTACTGTATCATACATTGCAGAATATTGTATTTAAGATCATAAAAATAATAGTCAGATACATATATCTTTAAAATAAATAAGACACATATTTTTATGATTTTTTGATTAAATTTCATTATTAAATTAAATTGAAGCTTAGACCTATAGCATATCATATATTAGATCCATTTTATTATTTTAATTCCACAGTTTCCGCTTCTTTTTAAAACCTTAATAGTCACCGTGATCTCAAAATCCATCAAAAATCATGATAATGTATAGCCACCAATGTATCTGTAGCTCCAGCTGTGCCATTTAATTCTTCTACCATTTCTCCAAGACCGCATTTCTGAAGACTAGCTGCCTTAAATGCGATTTCCCTAACGGCGAATCACCGCTTTCTTTGTGATTACGAAATTGATGGAAAATTATGAAAGACAGCCGCATATAGCATGCGAGTAGCTTGATATTTTGCAATAGTTTAATTGGCCGGGGAGCTGGAAAAGCGGGGAAAGTGAAAAGGCCCAGACAGAGTCTGCGGCACACAATTCGCTACATGGCTTTTCCATTCAACCCATTAGCCCAATTTCGCTTGGATAGAAAGCCAAAGTAGTGCGGCAGCTGGAACGGTTGGCTAATTAGCAGAAATAAGGAAGCGAACCGATAATCATACCTATCGTATCGTGTTGGCCTGACTCTATCAAATTATAGACTCGGGCCGTATAAGCCACCAGCGACTAAAACACGAACAACCAGAGACATCGAAACCCAAATAAAAAAATGCCTCAAATATGCAGAGCACGCTCCAGAGGGGGAGAGGGGCGGGAGTGAGTGTAAGGAGGTAGGCGTGGTCGTAATCAAAACACAGTAAATTCAATCAAAGTGCTTCTGGTCTTTTTTTTTTTTGGTTTTTGCGACGACGTGTGAAACAGATCGCTCATACGCCTCGTGGTCCGCGCTGCGAGCCGAACCAAAAAGCTCTCTTTCGGCCACTTTCACTGATTCAAGTTTCTCACCTGGCCGCGTCGCGGCAATTCGCACGTTTTACCGTTGTACGAGCGGCGCATGTTGCGCAATCGCTGCAACCAGGCTTCGGTTTCGTGTGACTTTCAGTGTTTGTCGCCGCAAGGGGGGCTGTGGCGGGGTCCGGAGTGTGTGCCAAACAACAATAAATTGGCAACAATCTTGCGTTTGGCCAAGACGAGTAGCCACTAGGCGGGGAGCTTTGATTGAAATAACTGTAATACGTTGCATTTTGGCAGGCCGCCTATCTGGGTGAGTGTGTGACGCCTCGGGGTTTCCACTGCTCGGTAGTCGGTAGTGTCGGCAGTGGTATCCCCCTCGGACATGTTTCTACCGCCTCCAGCAGCTAGCTCCCCCCTTGGGAGATAAACCAAACGAAAGGAAGTCATGAATGCAGAGATTGAGGCGCCACAAGAAGCTCAAGTCTCGGGAAATATGAGGCTTCTTTTGAGGGGAAAATTTTGATAGGAAAATGTTTGAAATGTGAGTATTATAGAGGGGGAATATTATATTATTTGATAAAGAATATGACCTAACAGAGAACATATCTTATTCTTATTTCTTAATAAATATTTGAAGCTTAAACCGAATACTTAAAAGTAGATACTTTTAGGTATTATATCATACTCTTCTCTGTTCTTTAAATAAACTTTTCTAATAGTTATTATAATAATAACTAAAGTATCAATAAATGTGATACAATTAGGTATTATATTAAACCCTTCCCATAACAATATATACCCTTCTTGCCAGCTAAGCCCTTAAAATAAAATCTCCAACTATTTTAGATAATGAGAAAATATTAAACCAAAATCCCCCACTTTTAGCTCACACACATTGTTTTTGGCAACTTTCGAAATTGTTCATTTTTTGATTAAGATAAAATTATATTTATTTCCCACTCTTTTAAGCTGAACTGGAACCCTTCAACATATATTTTTTCTCTTTTTTTTTAAGAAGAGCCAACAGAGCCACAGAAAATATCAAAAAACTACCAAAAAAAAGAAAGAAATGAATTTAAAAACTGCCGAAAAAGTGAAAGTTAATTTTTGGTGATGTTGCTAAGCCGGCAGAGCAGCTGACAACGGCAATGTTGCTTGTGTTGTGGTTGTTGATGTTGCCTTTGTTGTTGTTTATATAGTAGTTATTGTTGTTGTTGTTTCTGTAAGCGTCGGCGTTTGCCTCAATGAAAGTAAAAACGCATTTTTCGGCAGCTAAAGACCAGCTTATGAATTTGATATTGTTGCCCCGGACACTTATAAATTATGCGGCGCAATGTCAAACAGAAATGGACAAAAAAAAACTGCCCTTTTGTTGCTTGTTTTGTGTTTATATTTTAATTTTTTTCTTATTTTTTTGGCAGATCAACTCTGGCCGATAACAACAAAAGGCCAAAAACGCCAAGATGCCGGAGCAAGCTTCTCTTAAATACACACTATTATAATAAAGACAAAAACAAAAAGTTGCCCGGAATATTTATATACAAAAATATATAGTATATATGTAGTGTAAGTATATGGAAAGCACCGAAAAGTCAGAAACGAAAGTTGTCTGGAAATGTCGCCGCGAACAACTTGTTGGTTTTTGGCCCTTGCCGAGAGCACGGCCTGGAGTCGAAAGCAAAAGTGATTGTGAAAAGCCAGCCAGAGTCCGAAAGG